TGACCATCTTGAGAACAAACCCCTAAAACATTAGTTGCTATGTCACCCTTTCGAGTCCGGTATCTGGCCTTGTCCCCCTGTAAGGGGTTAATCTTTATGTGTGTCCCATCAAGTGCTCCCAAACAATTCTATAATTCAATTTATAATATTAGTAACACGGAGACACGATTGGTGACGGACATGTATAGCATGAATTATGAGTCACGTGGACTAGTAAATTACCTTGAACCATTTCCACTTATCATCGGTCGAGTTTTCCAGGATTGGCTCTGGTCGATTTAGAAGAACATCATGACAACGTAACACTGCAAGCAAAACATTAGAGAACTGTCTACTAATGGTTTCACCCGATCTCATGAATTGTCTTTTAATTATCCTGTTCTTCACATCATGTGCCAATATGTGAAGAAATATTGCAACCATCTCCTCTACACCCATATGGCTCGTCGGTTGAAGTTTACCAACAGTTTTAAGCAACCCACACAAGCTATGAAAACACCTCCTGTCCATCCTTGTATTCTCTATACACGCTGTGTCACTAATGTGAACAATCCTAAGGAAATTCACTTCCCTTACTCTAGCCCTCCCACGATGGTCTACTGACACTCTCCTGCGTCTATTTCTCCGGTTTTCAGCAATGCGTAACAAAACAGCACATATACTGACAAACATGTTAGTCAGTTGATGAAAAAACTCCAAATGAGTAATGAGCACGAGTATGACATTAAACTCCATTCCATTGTCGATGGCCATTATCTAACACGTCAAGGACAAAAATTTTAAGTTAAGTAATTACCAAAAAAAAGAAATATCTTACTCATCGAATAACAGATAATGAACATTCTTCTAATATTAAAATCAATAAAATGAATTTAAAATCCAATGACTCTCAAAAGCAGATAAGTTAACAATGTTATATTATATCTCTCTAAATATTAACATTGTTATATTATCAGTTCGCAACCTTTACAACCAATTGACTATCAAAAGCATAAAGTTAATAAAGAATTCAGAAACAAATAAACCTAATTTTTTAATGACTTGTTTTTGTAAAAATGCAGTTTTGGTTATAACATCTAATAATCCAACTATTTTTCAATAATTTCTCGACTGCACATAACAAGGCGACCAAGAGCATTTAGATCTGAAAGAAAATAGTTCATGTTTTATTTGTCAGTATACATACAGTTGAAAAAAGACTTTTATTTTAAAGCAACAAAATGTAAACATATAAACAATTATTTATAATCTCTAAGATTTTATATGACGTATAAAGAGTAAACCCTATAAGCATAAACACCCCAAAACCGCTAAAATATTTATGACTTATAAAAAAAGACAAAGTTAACATGTTAAATATAATTAACAACTCATGCTTTCATGTAGGACCTGTAAAAAAAAATGCTAGTTAACCTAGTGAAGTTAAATAACTTCATATCAATTTCGAACCTTTTCCCCTCACATGCTATTTCATTTTGTATACAAGCCTTTTTGACTTATTTTTCACTACGATGCAAACAAGTTCATTTGGCATGCTGTAATCCATCATCATAAATACTGTGCTATTTGAAGCATTGTCTTACAAACATAAAATTAGTTTAATTTAATAGACCAAGAGAAGTTTCCAAAGTATGGAAAAAAAGTATGAACAGTTCATTATTGATTGTTTGGTTGTTCCTGATAACAGGGAAACATTCTCCTTTAAACTAGAGTCATAATAATAAATCAACCCTTTAGGGATCTGTTTGCACATATTTCAGTTTAACAAACCAAAGCTAACTCTTTGTCCTAGCCAAATCATCACAGAGTAATTTGAAAAAAAATTAAAACATATAAAACAAGATGGTAAGGGAAAGATGATATCATGATAGTAATTCAAGCAATCAGAGAATGTTCTAATTTTCCTTTTTTAATCGAAACAAATCAGAGAGAGGGGGGAAAAAAGGAAACAAAAGATAGTACATTTGTTAAAAGGAAAACAAGTTCCTAACTTATTAACCTTTTTAATATCTTTTCCCCTTCCTTATCTTATTATCCATTTCCATTTGTCATTCTCTTTCTCCCTTTCTCACCCTCACTACCCTACCCCACCCGTCGACAACAGAAACAATCAAATCTATGCACTGCAACTAATACTTAAAATTGATTGAATGCTTAAAACCCCCATCACACCCTTTAAGAAACTCTAATTAATTACCCTTATCTCTTGCATTCACTGAGCCAACCCTCCATCTCAATATGCTAATATTTTTTTTGTTTTCCAAGCCTTGAAATTTATTGTCCTATATATATATATATATATATATATATATATATATATATATTGCACAACACAAAACAAAACTTAGTAGGAAGAAAATTTACATAACTGAAGCCAAAACAGGATGACATACACATACTTGTTTGGTTTGTGGGAAAGCTTGTGATAGGCAAGGATGGAACTATTCCCAGCACAACCAGACTTCTCCTGAAGACAAATCAGCCCTCCAAACAGCAAACCTACTTCAAGTTGCAGGAGAAGTACTACAACAGAATTCGGACATGGACTTGGGGTTTTGGAACAGAGGTTTGGACTCTAGCCTAACTCCTTATCATCATCATCATCAATGTCCAAAAAGGATACTTGCTTTGATCATGACCTCGACCAACTCCTTATCATCATCATCCTTCAGATTCCAAAACAGTAATACCAATCCCTTTTACTTCCACAACCAACCACTTTTCCACCACCACCAACAACAACAACCACATATCCAAAGCCTAAGCCAAGAACTTGGTTTTGTGAGACCCATCCAAGGAATCCCAGTATACCAAAACCCTCCTCCAATGCCATTCTCTCAACACCAACATCAACATCATCACAACGTCATAAATTTTTAATATTATTAACATAACTTTCAACACCTACTTCCCCTAAACCCAAACCGATCCAAATCATTTTAAAAAAGGTTGAATGTCACAAGGGTCCATAAAATAAGCGTATGAATATATTTGATAGAAATGGATCAATTATAGGACATGACAAAATTAAAATTTTAACTTCTACGTAAGAGTTCAACAAATAACATATACATGCGGCTAACACCACTTACTTGATCTGGACAATGAACTTCAAGTGATGGAGAAGTATGATGCAGCTAACACCAGCATGTACCGAAACAGAGAGGACAACTCCAAAAATATGACTGAACGAGCTTCAACTGATGTGGTTTGCTGAGTTACTTCTTTGCAAAACGATAGAGCAGATACAAACGTAAATTACAAGGAATAATCTCACAAAAAGCTCTATAATTAGTCAAGCAGTCTCATTTTTAATTGGATTTTTATTAACCCAAAAATTTGACAATACGAATTCTCCTACTAGTTCATATATACAAAAACACACATATCATATATTAACACAAAGATCTGCATGTGTAGAACAAAATTCTCAATTCAAATAGATAACAAAAAATACTTCATGAAAAATTTCAAATAAAAGGCACACAAATAATCTACATGAGAATAAGCCTTGTGGGGAAGAAAGTTGTCCACTTTAGACTAACCCCTTTCGATCTATTGCCCCTACGGTTAAAGATACAGGGAAAGCTTTTGATTTAAAAACCTGTAAAATGGTTTAGGCCAGAAATTAATGTTTACCCGTGAAGAACTATTACAAGAAGAAACATGTTTTACTCCTATAGAGGTGGTTTGTCATAACCTTCTTTCCGTTCTTCCTTCTTGTCCTGTTAATATTTTTACAACTTTGGACATAAAGAGGATGAACATAACTCTACAGAGTAATCTAGCTGAGTGGAAGATAAGCTTTGGGTTTTTCATTTTGATAAACGATTTACGAATCATCAACAGATCATATTCCATAAACAAATAGAAGCTGGGTGAGGTCGATAGTCATGGAAAGCAAACCTTCTGCCGACAACCACCTTGCTTTCTTCCGGTCGCTACTTGCAGGAAGGTGCTCTAAGGAAGAGAACCTACTGCGCCCTAAGCTCCTGACCACACACCGAAGATTGCCATCGTATCATCTATGTTAACTTTTGAAAGGGTATATTGGTTACAAAAAAATAGCACAAACAGTGGTTTACCCGTGTTTTTACAAAAACCCACGTACGAAATAGCTTTTCAAACAGTACCGAAACATGTTCTTTTACATTTAAATTGAGAAAGCTATGCATTTTGAATAACCAGCTTTTTGTGAGAATCTCTTCTACCAAACATATGTATTCTGGAATCCTTCACTCAGTTGCCTAGGAAAATTGAGGAAAGACCCCAACCAAACGCCCCCTTAAGGTAAAGAAAGAAACATAGGAAATATCAAGCTGAGAATATTCATGAATTCAAATTAAAACAGCAAGAAAAAAGTAAAATTTGAAATCTACACTACAATTTTAAGATTTTGTACAGGCGCCTATTAAATTACAAGTTTTCCCACACTACTTGCTTATTTGATAATTAATTTTAATTAAAGTAACTTTTTGTTTAGAAATTAGACATGATAATCAGCCATTCGAATTAGGTGTCTTATTCATTGGAACTATTTAGCTTCATTTTTTGCTTTTTGAGCCCCATTTGTATTAGTTTACGATGATTTGTTTTTTGTGAATAAATCTTACCTTTGAAAAGACGAAAACACAAATATATGGTTTACATACAATTCATATTTGTAATAACAAATATGTGGTTTGATCTCACGCTACGGATGAGGAATTATCTGTCAAGGTTTGACATGATATTAATAAATTGATTAGACTCATCAACCTATGTTTATCTTTAACCTTAATGAACTAATTGAAGAAGTTCAAATTTGATGACCTTATATTTTTTTTTTATTTGAGGACTTTTTTTTGACAAACTTTTGACTTATTCTCATACAAGATATTTAATAACAGATTGATTCTATTGTAAGTTTTTTTAATGATCAATATAAGTTAGTGAGGAGCTTCTGAAGATATGTATGTATATGATGACAAAGTATGATTCGTAATCCAGAGATTGTGGCAACAAAAATTCGATCTTTTTATTCATAACTTTTAGATGTATCCAAATACATTTTAAAGATGAACTGAACTGAGCAGCAAAAAAAATAAAATAAAAATAAAAATTAATATCACATATATTATATGACTGGTAGAAAATAATGGACCAGATTAGTCCAACATATATGACCACCATTGTACAAGTAATCCTCAAGTAAGTAAGATATACCAAGATAGCAAACCTGTACTAAGTTATTGAGGCTTGGGTTGTAAGCTGACAAGATGCCTTTAAATACACTATTTTCTCCTTTTAACTTTGACCCATTTTAGTTAATGCAGAAAACAACAGTATCGATGCTTTTTCTGCCTGGTTGATTGTTTTGGCACATCTGAAGAGTTATTTAATTTTTTCTGCCTGCTTGACTTTTTTGGGTCTTCTGAAGACATATCTTGGACTGCATCACTCTTTAATTTCTTGTTATCACATATTGTCTGGTCCAGTGTTGTCCCATTTTCCAAAGAATATGAATCAACCAGGCTTGTTTCAATTGGTCTTGAAAGATGCTGCTCTGGTGAAGCTGGTACTACTTTGTTATGGTTTACTTCCTTTAAGTTAGGATTTGTTCCTGTGTGCCTGAAGGAACCAAAATGATTAAGAGCATTAGTTAAAGATATATTCATACTTAACTACATTCTGTACTAGTTGGCTGATATTTCTAAACAAACCATATGGAAGGATACAAAATCATAAACATAAAACCTTTTGTTCCTTTAAATAAGCAGAGAAAAAGTAACACAATCACCTGAAGTTTTGGATTTCAGAGTTAGTCTGAGGTTCTTCTTCTGAAATTTTCTCCAGTACATTGCTGCTTGATACTTCGACACTAACCTCATTTTTTGAACATAGTTGATTAAGTTTTGCAGAATATGAATCAACTGTGCCACCTTTTTCCCGAAGCCTTGAAATAGCCCTCTCTAATGTGTCTAGAGCCTGTTTTACCTCTGAGCTGATATATACATTACTCTTGCCCTTCAGTACACTCCTTGTATCATCTTCCTCAATTTGAATGTCATGTACTTTCTTAGCATCATCCATGATATGTACAATCTCTTCACTATCTGGTGCTACAATCTCTTCATCATCTGCATCTACAATCTCACCATTCCTCTTGTCCTTCAGTACACTACTTGTATAAACTTCCTCAAATGGAATGTCACGTACTTTCTTGAAATCCCCCTCAATTTGTGCACTCTCTTCCCTATGTACTTCTACAATCTCTTCACTATCTGCATCTAAAATCTCACCATTGAAATTATTTGCATATTGGTTACTTCTGTCCTCCCAAGATATATCTTTTCTCCCATCTTGCTCACTTTGAGTAAGTTCTTCAGCAGGAAGAATTTGCTCAAGCTCTTCCCCATCCATAGCCTTTGATCCACTAACGTTGTATAGAGCTTCCCGAATTCTAACATAAAATGAGTCCCCCAAGGCCTTGATGAATTCTTGATCATGGTTCATCTTAGAAGCCACAGCCTATAAAAATATCAAGTGTTGGACATCATAAAAAAAATACCTTCCTATTAAACCTTGACTAAAGAGAATACAGATGAGGACAATCCGGATGAAAGAAAAAAATACAAAATAAAAATGGAAGGATATTTTATATACATTTGCAAGCAGAAAATGGTAAATAAGCTGAAACCAATCTTCGAACTAGTCATTGCAATCAAAATTGACTATAAGTCCATGAAACCAGGGCAAATCCTACTATACAAGTTAAATAATTAAACAATCCATATTAATGTGTTTGTATGCTTTCCTTTTTCCGGGTTGCTATAAGGAGAATATCTTATCCTCTTTTTCTTTGTAATCCTGATTTCCTTCTAATAAAAATAACTCTTTTATCAAATAATAATAATAACTAAATAAAGAATCCATGAAGCTGACAATTCGGATAGAATTTTAAACTTAATGCAGCATTATATATACTAATAACTTGTTCGTTTGTTTTTGAAAAATTAGTTGACCTTTAGTTAGATGCCAAAAAAATAAATATTGGTCGAATGCCTAATAAAAGAAGTAATCCGAAAAGAATCTACAACCTTCTGATAAAGCCTGAAACCATTCCCGATGAGCTGCCTTGAAATGAAGTTTATAAGGGATGGAGGTACAAAATCCAGCTTTATATCCATATTTGCTATTGTCCTACAAAATTTGAAAAATAAAATAAAAAATGTAAGCCTTGGAATCAGGGTTGCAAATCAAGATTTCTTTTCTTTTTGGTACTTTTTCATTTTTCACCACATGTTGGAAGTCAAGCCATACAATAGTCTATAAATTAAAACCAGTTCAATTACATATTTATTTTAGAATCCAGTAAGAAATGAATAAGTAGCTTATAATGGAAACCAGTAGAATCACGTAGATAGAACAATCAAAACAGGTACATATAACCGTTCACAGAAACTGAGAAACATCGGCAAATCCAAGACTGGAGTACTGAATCAGTGTTGCATACTTTTAATTTATAGTTCAAGAAAGGAGGGCCCTCACTATCACAAAGACAATATAATATTCATCATAATTTTGTCATAGTACAAAGATATTACCTAAAGTTAACGCAGTTCATTTGCAAAATCTAGCAGCAAAATTACCTGCTCCACAGGGGTATGACAGACAAATAAAACCATATATCAATATTGAATCCATTTTCAAACAGAAAACTTCTTCCAAGTTTTCTTTTTTCTTTTTTTTCTTTTGCCTATTCTTTAAAATCAAGCAGATCCAATATGGGGCTTTACGGTTTCTATAACTGGTGACGGGTTTCTCCTTTCATATCGTCACTCCATTCAAAATACTTCTAATGTTTGAGTGCTCAATTAAAACTCACCGAAAGTAACTTCTTTCCATTGTCACCTTTTGCATAACAAAGCCTCCCACCAAATCAATTCTCACAACATCCTTTGCTTCTGGAATTGCATCCCTGTTGAAACCATTAATGGTATCATTAATGCTCTTTGACTCAGGGACCTGAAATAAAATTAAGCACAAATTTCTTGAAGCTTAGATCTAGTTCAGAACTAACTTTCTTTAGAAACAGAAAGAAGGATCCAGGTGACTACCGAATTCAAAAGAACAACTAATAAGTCATCTTGAAAGTACTCAAACACATAATAGTGCACTATAGCCTCCCTCGTAGACAGCGGCCATGAAATCTTCATCCTTTCTTACAGAATTCGGAGCAATATAAACCATAAAAATGAAGCCTTTTAGGATGGTGAGTGACACTAAAAACTCAATTTTTTTTAATTGATGCTGGCAAGACAAACCTAACTAGTGATATTTGTTCGCCAATCTGAACCTTCTGCAAACATTCAGATGCCATAATTTTGAAAGTGGGAATAGTCGTTTGAGGCCACCTGAGAAACAAAAATTGTGAAAAGGGTATCAGCTAGAAGTATCACTGAAATTTGTAGTGTTCCCCTAACTTAAATTCAAAATAATTTCTCTGTTATACAGAAACTTCTTGGACCACCTCATAACAAAAATAATATCAGATGGATACAAAAAAACAAATCTCGTAACTGTAATTTCCATTAACTGGTGTAACTTCCAACCATGTAAAGAAATTCATGAGTGAAAAAATGACACTAGTGTTCAGTATTGTCAAGGGACTAATATACAGAAAATTAAAAGCACATATTGCACTATGGTTCTCACCATTTCTTGTAAAGGGACGTCTCCCATGAGAGGCATAAACCTGTAATGAAGAAAATAACTCATTAAAATCGATAATATGGCCTTGGTTGCTAAGCTTAAAAGGGCGATGCTGAAATTTTTTGGCTGATGTAATGTGACTCACAAACATCAATAGGCCCATCTACATAGCCTTCAACTAGCAATGTATGAAAGGGAGTTCCCTCTGGTCCTTCACGATACATAACACGAAACTCTTCGTTATCCTGCTTTAACTGTTCAAAAAAGTGAAGTTATGAAAAATGCCTCGAGAATTTGATCGAAAAAGTCATGTAGATACTGCCTAAAACATAATCAGAATTCAGAATACAAATGTCACACAAGATTGCATTTGTCCATTGAATTATAAAAATAGGGTAAACCAGTGAAGCAAGAGGTACGTCAGCCACTTTAAATCCCTGATTTCTCTGAAAGGAACTTATCAATTGGATAAATAAAACCAAAAGAGTTTAAGATCTAAATCAATTGATGATGATCTAAATAGGGAAATAAAATATCAAGAAAACACAACATGGCTAAAACTACAGAGTAGATAACATACTTTCCAATCGCTGTGTGATTTACTAGATCCTCCACTATCATCTACAGAAGCACTCCTCAACATATCAAGAAAGTTAGATACCTCAGCAGTCTTGGTTTCTAATAGTTTCTCCTTATATTCTGCAAAAACCAAACCAAATTTAAAATTTCAAAAAAATTTAAAAAAAAAGGGACAAACTTAATCAAAATTATAATTCCACTCAGCTAGTACCATTTCTGCCCAAATGAGCTCAAAGCAAAATTAGGGAACGCTATTACCTTCTATTTCCAATTTTGAAGAACGCATGACTTGACTTTTGACAAGCGTTTTGAGTATGTGGTCATTTGTCAGATCAGGTGAGGCAAGAGTCTTGTCCAACCTCTCCCTATACTGCACAATGTTTCGTTTTTTGGCCATTTTTGTATGATTGTATCTCTTAAGGAAAGAAGAACGACCCTACTATCAGAAAACCATTAGATAAACAACCATATATAGGATTCTGAACATCCTCCAAAATCATTTAAATCCACTGTGGGTAATAATAATAAGACTAGCCTAACCATTCAGGTACAAGTACAACTCACAACTCATCACGCATTAATTGTTTGTGTACAACAAAGCAGAACAAAAACACCCCATTAGCCCAACTAATGTCAATAACCAAAAGAAAAAGAGCCAAGAAACTCATTATATGTCCACTACAAATGTAGAACACACCCATTTAAAGCTAAGTCTCAACTACACCAGTTGCCCCAATAATAAAATTCAATTGAAATTTCTTAGCCACTCGTTAACAGAATTTAATGAAACCACGTGACTAAAACCAAAACCAAAACCAATAATACATGATAGCTAAAAACAGAGGCGTTGATATCCAATCCAGATAGTAAATTTTATTAAAATTGCACTTACATGAAACTTTCCTCTGCTCAGCTGTGCTTTTTAGTAAGAAAAAACTGAAATTTCCACCGACCCAATTAACTATTCCACCCTACAAAGAAGAGACAGAGTCACCTGATGTGAGATCACCCATGCGGAGTCGAGGGCAGATTCCCGAGAATAACCAAACCAGTATATCACTATTAATTATTAAATATAAAGAAGAAGAAAAAGGGATGCATCGTTTTTGGTAAATGGAATGGACTTTGGAGAAGAAACATAGGTGCGTAGAAAAGTTAACTAACCAAGTTGGAAACGTTGGAATCAGAACTTTAGCTTTGTGGGACCACACACACGTACACACAGCTAGGATTGGCAGAGAGAGGGAGAGAGAAGAAAGGTTATTAATTTATTATCATTGATTTGATACCAACAATAAGGTGAAAATAAGCGAAGGTTAGGTTGTTTGTTACAATGGGGTTGCGAGTACAGTTGTTCACTGTGTCTGATAGAAAGTTCAGGAAGGAAGTACAAAGAATTGTGAACGCACGTGTCTCTCTCTCTTTTATTGATTCTCACGAAACGGCAACGGTGATCTAAACACAATCTCGTTCTTGCCTCCATTGCCAATGTTTGACTTCGGTTGGTGTCTGGTAAATATTACATACTACTAGTGTAACTGTGAGATGCACCGAGAAAAAAAATCAAATTGCACGGAGAAAAAATTAAATTTTTTTGTCGGTGTCTTTGGTTAGGTTAATCGCTAAAAGAAAGAACTGATTTTGTGTTATCTAGAGAGATGAAAAAGCTACAACACTATGTAGAACTTTGTAATTATCTCGCAGAAACAAAACTCCGCAATTAAGAAACATCAATTACTATGCAAATAAAAAATAGTTATATACTCTATAATTGATTATTTTCATATACAGCAACACATACAGTTACCAAAGAGAAGTTATCAAAAAATAAGTGGATGCGCTCAATTAACAATAAGATATATTGATATATAGCAACACATATAGCAGTAACATTTCGGGAAAAGTTTAAATACCTACTCTATTTTGCCTTTAAATCATTTTTCGCCCTATGTTTTTTATTATTATTTATTCTCTTGTATTTTTTTCTATCCAGGTTTTTTTTAATAGAGTTTCTAATTAATATGACGATTCTACTCTTATTTTGATAGGAAGAAAGAGTGATGCTTTATTTAATTAAATTAACCATTACTTCATAATATCGCTTAAATTAGGATTATCAAACTTTTTATGGTAACATAAAATCTTGCCTAAATAGTAATGCACAAAGTACAACTTGCATCTTTCAAACATTATTATTGATGAAACTTTATACTTGACCCACAACTTAAGTTGCTATAGCATTTATTAAGAAGGACCCCATAATGTATCGATGAAAAATGTTGAAGTAAAATCAATTCAAATTACATTTAATGTGTTTTAAAAACTTGATTTTCAAATCAATTTAAATTATAATTTAGAACTGAATTTTAAATATGAAAATTAATTTTTAAATCAAATCAATTATGTAAAACTCAATATTATCAACTGGTTTATTGTGTATCCGAATCAGTTGGCTTGGCTGCTTGTAGGTTGTGGTTGATAAACAGAGTTCAATCAAATAAAACCTTTCTCTCTATCTATAGTTCAAAGTCTATTCTCTTTTTGTCCCAGGTAAGAGCAAAGTTCAATCATCACGTCCCTCTTGAAAGTCTAAAATAGGAGCTTGGCCTCCTTCCTATTCTTGGAACAAATTTTCCGTGCTACTGTAGCACCAAAGATTCAGTACATCCCACCAATCAGCTAAAGTTTTATTTTCTCTGATAAATTTGTTCTCTCTCCTATGATGTGTAATGCTCTCATTGATGAGATGCACTGAATCTTGGTACAACAGTAACACCAAAAATTTATTCCTATTCTTGGCCGTTGTTTGTTTACCTTTTCCTCTTTGAATTTTCTGCCTGTAGTATATTCATGAAATTTTAGACCCAGGACCATTATGTCATTGACTCATTGTGAACCCAGTATTGAGATGCCAATCAATCTGGAACAGTCTCTGTGATCTTCGGAAATATCTATAATATTACTGCTGTACCATTCACTCAGTGCATCTATCTAATAAAAAATGAAAAATAACAGTTATGCTTGTACAGAAAGAAGAGAAAAATATTTTTTTTATCTAAGTGTCACTTGTTGAATGATAAATATAATACTTACTACAGATATACAGAAGAAGATGATGTCCTCATCTTGATAGTTTGACTGACCTTATAAACCTATGTTATCCACACACAAAACTTGGATGAATGCGTGACGTGTTTGATCTCCGCATATCGGTAACGCGTACTTTCTGCATATTCTCTCTTGTATGTAAGGGACTGGTTAGGGAGTAAAATGAGATGTAGTATGAAAAATATACCATGCGTATTTTTTTTATTTTTTTATTTTGCTTCTGGTAACATAAATGTGGTAAAAAGTATTGTCTTGAGGTAATTTTTATTATGTAAGTGGTCATGCACTGTAGCACTGCCGGTGTTTCTTTGAAAACTTCTATTTCTTTTGTTTTAAACGGCTAAGCCAAAAAGAAGGGAAATGTCATTATGATTCCTCTATTAGTGCGGGCAACTTGAGGGCTAAGGCACAAAGGGAATAGAACCGACAAAGAATGTAGTAGATAAACCTGGGCAGACATAATCCAACATTTTAACTTAAAATTAAGTTCAAGTGTAACGTTGATGTGTTGAAGAGAATGTATCCTTTCAAAAAGGGTGTCAAGAGACGAAAAGAGAGATGGCGTTCGGATAGAGTTAAAAAAAAAAAAAAAATGGATAATTGTTACTTGATGGGTGGCTGAAGATCGTTTTACATGTCCAGATCAATGTTAAGCAAAAGCTGCAAAACAATGAGATAAATATGCTTGTTAACTGGAATACTTTAACATTGTGATATGAGATGATGAAACATGGGATGAAACACTTTTAACATTGTGATATCAGATGATAAAACATGGGATGAGGATAGAACTAATTGGAGGTTCATCACAACTTCTGATTTATAGAACTAAAAGTTACACCTAGGAGAAAAATGAGTGTGTCGTACGTCAAATCTTGAAAAGGGAATATCAGGTGGCAAGAGATCTACGCTAGAGTCTAAGCCATTCCCTGTTGTAGTTATAAGATCCTCTCGTGTATTTTTCACTAGATCTTGTTATATTAAAATTTTGTACCTATCTCTTCATAGACATTAAATAAGTGAGACCTTATCAACATTTGTGAAAAACTATCAAGATCAAGTGAAAATTTAACCTGAGATGATCCATTCCCCATAGCATTAGATATAGGTGGTTATAAAAACTACCAAATACTCTCAGCTGCACGATAATGCAGATAAAGGAGCATTTTACAGGGATGGTGAAAGAAACTCTATATCAAAGAAACTCAGCCTCTCCCTGATGCAGACAAAGAGAGCTTTACATTTAGTTTAGGTAGTGAAAAGAATGCATCTGGACACCAAAAAATGCTTCAGCCTAATCTACTCGAAACCTCGAATGAGTCTAAGGAGTAAGGAGGCAAGATATTACACTGAAGGCACGGCAATTTGCAGATACTCTCAAAGATATGACAGTTGCAATTACAGCACTTAACAAGAAGAAAAATAAAGAGGACAATTTCTATGTAGATATTTTTATCAGCATTGCTTCAGGCTATGCCAGACATATAATATTGGATATCTGTGACTTTGTGAAAGATGAGAGAAAGAGCAAGAATGTTTCTAGCGTTGGATGCCAATCTGAGAAAGAAATGGTAAAGCAAGAATGTTTTGGCATTTGAACTCTCAACATAATTGAAGCTACAAATATGCGTTGCTTATCTTTGTAAATACAAGAAGCATAGAGACAGGCTTTATATTTCAAAATTATGCAATGAACAAACGCAACCCGTGAAGGCTTTTATATGGAACAGTGACCAAAATGCCACTTTTTGACAAAAAATTTACCCAAATGCCACGCGAACAGTACTTTTTACCAGACTGCCACGTAAGCATAATTCGCTACGACTGGTAGCAAATTATGTTCGCCAATGATTTCTTAACACGTGGCACACTTTCGCAAGTAAAAGTTGACGTGTCATAATTCGCTACCAGATGTAGCGAATTTAGTCTGCAATATGACCACTTGTCATGAAATCATTGGCCATGAAATTCGCTACCAATGGTAGCGAATTATGACACGTGGCAGTCTGGTATAAAAATACTGTTCGTGTGGCATTTGGGTAAAAGATTTGGCAAAACGTGACATTTTGGTAATTGTTCCCTTTTATATGCATATGTAAAAAGAAAAGTAGACTTTCAAGATTATGGAACTGAAGGAAAAAGAATTACAAAATGAACAATGTATTAAGAAACCATAGACTGATAGTTACATATCTATAAACTTCACTAGCATACTCTTTGTGAACTCACCAAATAAAACTCTGTGTCACTGCATTACACTGTATGCCTAACTTTCATCTTTCAAATTTATTAGCAAGATTGATAAGAGAGAGAGAGAGAGATGATTGTGTTACTTGTGGATCCAATGGAACTTGAAGATGTAAAAAAACCTGCAGCAGTAAATATGAAAGTTCTAGCTTGGCAAATCGCTTCTGAGTCTAAGAATCTCAACGCCTAAGTAATCAACTGGACCCCTAACTGCCACATGAGGCTTTCCAACCTTCACACGAACAGCAGATATCTGTTGATGATTAGTCAGAGTAGTGATAGCAATTTTTTGAGCCACTGACTCCAGAAGGTTGTGAGGTGACTCTTCAAGAACTTCCTTAGCTATGCTGCACACATGACATAATCAAATCAACCAATTCTCCATATGTCTTTAATCATATCAAAGCTAATAAATGAAATCAGAACAATAAAGTGGTGAATTTGTTGGTCCCTCACTCACTCACTCACCGATATATTTCAGTGTAACTAACTGTATCTGACAATTGATCAGAATTGCCAGCTGATCTGAGATCCATCCAAGCGTCAACGTCAACCAAAAACTTCTGGCCCAGCTTCCTTTCTTCGGGCTTTGCTCCATGAAAACCATGGAATGTCAATCCCCTCAATATGAGTTTGTCTCCCCATGTCGGTGCATCAGCTTCCATCTAAGTTTCAATGATAAACCAAGTGATAACCATTCTTTTCTATAACAACTTAACTCAAAATTAATATGCAGCTAAAATCAAGTCAGGGTCCAAAATGACATGAAAAATAAACAAATAAGAGATTTAAGCTTTATCAATTAAAGAATGAATCGGAGAGGATGATTTGGATGGTGCATGCAGCAACCAAAGGCACAGGATGGATACAACTTACCGATTGGGTGCGAAGCCACTACTCACCACTTGCTGCAGCTCAAGTAAATGTTTTGTAGCGCTCTCTCTCTCTCTCTCCTAGAGTTCAATAATTATATTATTATTTTATTATTATTATTTTATTATTCCTTTTCTTTGATAAAGACCATTCAATAAGGAACTACCTCACCTCACCCTAGGTGGCTTTCCACTCTGCTTGAGCCCACACACAGCCCAGCCCAGCCCAGCCCATATTTACTGCTTCTCCTTCTCCGCTCCATTTTTTATTTTTTCATTTCGGATTTGTTTCTTTAATCAATATGTTAGGATTTGTTTCTTCAATGAAATAAAATTACATAAATTTTATAAGCGAAAATTATGTATTTTAGGTCATAAATAAGCCACTATATAATCTACCTTTTTTTTATTAATCAAAGACCATTGAACTATCTTTGTCACGGTAAAAGATCGAGTTCACTGCTCTCATGTATTTCTTAGTTAGGCAAGGTTGTACTTCTACAGATTATTTTAAACGTATGAAAATCTTAGACGGATAATAGATTTTTTTGCTGAGTTTACTATTCGAGTGCTATAATCAGCATTTTCCTCACAATAAATATTTTAAAAGATAAAATTAAATTAGCAGTTTCGATAGGACCTACAGGTTGGAAAACATTGAAGAGGCTGCAATCTGTTTCGTAAAATATTGTAGAATCTAGACGTAAAGAAAAACATTATTTATACCCTTCAGGTTCAGAAAGAACAAAAAAATCTGGTAGTTTTTCTGATTTGGCTTTAACACATACAGACCACACAAACACACTGTTGACCAAAAGAAAGTTATCAATTATCTCAGATATTGTTATCGTGACATTTGTCTATTACACAATTCTGGTAAACAATTTCTTTATTGAAGATAGAAAATAATATATAGCATTAAACGGAACGAGTTCGAAGTACAACATAAAAGCACTGTAAAAATTGGTCTAACCGAAGAGCATTACGAAAAATGATATGAACTAAGGAGACAAAAATGTGTAATTTTTTTATCTATAATCATGGGTTAAAAAGAAAGCAAACTACATGAGCTAAAAAAAATTGGTTAAAAATTTCCAGCATGCATATATACATGTCGAACAAAAGGTGTAATAATCTATCCACCGGGCTTAAAATTTTAAAATCTACCCTCTTTTCCCTGTGGCTTCTAAAAGCTGTACAATATTATATCCTTTGCTTTTCTCTTCACTTTATCTCAGTAAAACCGAACCGGTACCGCTTAAGCAGCAATTTTGAGAAAGTCAGACAATTGTATAGGCGCAAAACGTCTAAAAAGCCTCAACCTTTCCATGTTGCTATGACTAATTAGACAATTGCATCAGAAGTTTTCATCTAAACCTTCTTGTAGAAAAGAACATATGCAGCAGAAGTCTTTATCATGTCCTCACTAGCAGGGGCAACCCTGCTATCATCAAACTCGTACCATTTATCATGGCCATACTGCAAGGGAGTAAATAAAGTTAGATAAGCATAATTAGAATCAATATATGAAAATTTCTGTAGTATAAACTAAGCATTGAAAAACCTGTATCAAGAAAAGTCCAAAATGTCTCTAAATTTAAAAAAAAAAAAAAATACACTTAGGGAGATTAAGGATGCCAAATAAAAACTAGTAATACTAAGAGCAACTTACAATTGTGAAGAGGATAAAGTTCTAGGGGGTAATTCTAAAATTATATGGAAAGTTTATGTGCTCTAACATCCACAGGAACTAACTTCTAAAGAAAGCAGAAAAACATATCTCACTATCACAGCTAGCCTGCCGAAACCCTCTTCCTTCCCCTGGTCACATGTCACAACATTGTCTGCCATTCTCCCCCAAAGAAATTAATATTCTTAATATATGAAACAGGCTAATGGAATATTGAGTTTTTCTTTGGTTAAACAACTAAGAGCCTAATCAAAAAATGAAGAGAGAAGAATTAAATTCAATGATTTAACAGAGTAAGAATCTACGAGACATCTACAACTGTGAGGTACTTACATGGACAAACGCTGTATAATGACCTCCTCCTAACCCTCCATAGTGACAACTAATTGCATACAAAACATAGCGCTTGGACGACTGACTCTTCCTGTGGGTAACATAGGTTGCAAAGTCCAGATCATTAATTGGGAAGTCAACGAATGTTTCCAGCTTGTTCTTGAAGAATCGGTTGTATGAGAACCTCTTCAAATGAACAACAAGGATTTCAGGCAATCTCCAAAGATCTAGTTTTTTAGTTGCTTGCCGAGGTTTTTTGCAGGTAGGACAGTACCTGTAAGTACACAAAATATCAAACATCTGAAAGATTGTAATGTATGTCTGACCTTTTAGAACACAAGGGACATTGATCTTGATTAACATACAAAAACATAATGATAAATTTTATTAAAGATATTATGTTCTCCAAACATAAAAAATCTTCAAAGATAAAATAAGAGACTTGATATAACTACTAACCACATGTCTTCTGGCCCAAGAGGTTCCTCTTTCAAGAACGCTTCAAGGCACTTGTAAATAGAAACTGACTCTTGCGTTCTCTTGGTCAATAGTTGGGTCTTGAAAACCTCAGGCAAGGAGCCAAGCCGGTATGTATCATACTTTTTAAGCATCTTATCTGACCATAAGACAAACACATCCAGATCTCTGGACAAAACTGTGACTGGTAAGGGTTCACTCAATGTTATCTTGACATTTTCTATTCCTGACCCAGCAGGTAAGTAGAATTCAAAGTCAGCGCACATATGTATGTCATCTTCTGTTCCACTGTTTGAATCTGCATTACTTCCCATTGCTGCAGAGCTAGTCATATCGGCCAATCCATCATCTTCACTAAGTTTTTTATTTACACCATCATCCTCATCATACTCATCTAACATATCTTCATTGGGGAGCAGAAATGGATTGATTAACTTCAGAAACTCCTTACGAACATCATATCCACAAGAAATACTGGACAAACTTGCCACAACTGGAATGCCAAACAATCTATTTTCAATCCCCTCCTTCGCAGAACTGTAATACATGATACAACAAATTTAGTGCACCAAATAAGAGCAGAAACATCAGCAAGTAGAGAAACGACCAAAATTAGAATAATTCCAAAAATAGATTAATTTACCCAATACACACATATGAAGTTAAACACCAAAATTTGCTTACATATGAAGTCCATAAATGACAACCACTGTAGAAGACCAAACAATGTGTCTATTTTATAATCAAGGCTTATAAGCGCAACTTATATAAACCATTCTTATTAGCATTCTTAGACAACCAGGTAGGTTATTTGCAAAATTTTGTGATGTCCCACATGAATAAGTAGAATTTGAAGTTATTTTTTGATTAAGATCTTGGGGTGGCGACAAATCTGAAATTGTTAGTGACAAGCACCAAAGAAGGATATTGCAGGAACAAAACTGAAATTAAACCAGTCTGTAAAAGAAGTGGAATTAGGGCATAGAAAAACTTACTTTTCCACCAAACGTTCATGTACGAAAAAACAAAGGGGACTAGCTTCATTATACTTTTGTATTCGGTAAGCAACAAGTGTGTCTTGATCTCTAATATCAGCTAATGAATCAGATGGACCGTATTTTCGAAAAATCTTATTCCTGTATATCTGTATACAACCCAAAAAAGTCATACTTTGAATTGCAATATACACATGAAAAATATTTGCATTAGCCTAATAAACTAATGTTAATAGCTCTAACATAATGTTTCATTTAATCAGTAATACCATGCAAAAAAATTCTACCAAATGCATAAGTATTGCAAGATACCTCGGCCACCAAGAGGGTTTCATCATCTCTTAGAGAACAAGACACACTTAAGGTCCCAATAAGATCCTCAAGTGTTCCACATTCAGGCACTGTTACAGTAAGTGGGATAGGAAATGTAATCCCATCAGTGCTCATGACAGTCACAGTCATGGTCCGTATTGTTGTAGAAGGTAAAGGCAGAGATAGATACATAAAAGGGTCAAATGTGAAAGAAACCTTCCTGCAAACAGGGCAAACCAATGTCGAACGGAACTGACCCTGCAAGAAAAGGGACAAAATTGAAATTTAATTTCAAAAGAGAGAATTTTTTAATTAGAGGAAATATAAAATTGTTTTTGCTTCCTAATTACTACATTGCTTTTTTTCTTTAGAAAAATGCTTCAGAAAAATGTTTTAGACCTCACATCCAATGCTGTTGTCAATCAGTCAATAAAAAGTGAGCTCAATGTAGCTAGTAGTCAGTTTTACATAACAATAACTTCTTCCAACACAACTATACGTTCCTTATTTAATAGTAATGTCAATGTGACATAATAAATTAAATTCTCTCTTCGGGATAAAGAGTTGGATCTAATAGATTATTCCCATAAAAGATCCTAAGAGTGAGATCACCACGTCAGAAAAGAAGCAGTGTTATACGACTCACTTGGCACAAATCAACTACTATGGAGTCATTACGAGCAAGGTGATTTCTCCAATACTCTTCTGCCACTTCTTCATCTGGACGGCCATCTGCATCCTTAACTTCATGATATGGTTTGCGTTTTACACGGTTAAGGTCTTCATGCAATCCATCCAACAAAAAAGCAAGAAGCTCCTGCGTGCCAGAAACTTCAACATTTTATAAAATTATTTGATCTCGCGTCATAACATCAGAAAATTCATCAATGATAATAGATGCACAAGGAAACTACAACTGTCTTACATTTTTAATATTTAATTTGCTGTATTTAAAAAAAAAAAAAAAAAGAACAAGAACAAGGTATTAACTTGAGAGTCATGTTGGCTATAACCACTAAACTGGGGGGCAAAATTAGCAAGTTTCATCTTGAACATTGATGGCGCCACAGGCCTTGCTCCAGGAACCCACAGCTTTCTAAGTAAATCTCCAAAAGCTAAAGCAAGTTCTCCCTGAAAAACATTTTAAAAAAGAGAAAAAAAAGAAACAAAGTTAACGATGCAAAAAAAGAAACATACTTAGGAATGAGCAAGTAACATAAAAGGAAAAAAAGTGTACATTCATTCCCAAGGGATTTTCATAATTTATCTCTTTACGGTAATCTCCAAGGAAAAAATCAACAAGCTTCGGGGTGTGAGCCAAACACTGAATGGCACTATTCATAAAGCAAGTATTTCCAAGATTCTGTAATCCTGTCAAGCCCAAAGATCGAATTGCTCTATAGCTACTGCCTTGAAAATAATTGGTTGCTGTTACATGGGGAATCACATGGTCAGTGCTTCCATTCATCATAACAGAGCCACTGTGAGAAGAACATTCCATCTGAGACCTATCTGTAATCATCTTATTGCTCCCATTAACCCTCACAAAGTCTGAAAATCCATGAACTTGTAACTCCAGAAGAACCTGTATAGACATAGAGCAGCAGAAAAACTATAAACAGACTGAATAATGTATTCAAAATTCAAAACAATCAATATATCTTGAAAAAAAGATGTCTAAAATTCAAAACTATAAGGTACATAGATTCATTTCAATATCCCATCATTTATTGTGAAGCATCTAGACCCTTGCCGGCCTACCATAAACTTGAAATTTCTTTAACCGAATCATATAAAAGGAAAACAAAGAAAAAAGATGAATCAGCAATTACCTCTTTAGGTTGACCAGTAGAATTGTTAGGAAAACTAACTTTGTCATTTATGAAGAACTGGGTTGTCTGCCCAGAAAAGTCCCAAATATGCACCTGCATCATCAATAACACAGAATTATACATAACCAAGAGAACATAGACAGCCTGTAAACAAAACCAATTAATATTTAGCTAACTCACTGGGTTATGCTCAGAATTGAAAATGTCACAAGCTTTCTTGTAGAAGTCAGCCACATTTTCCTGAAATCATGCCACCTATTATTATTTACTGATTATACAAAGCTTTCTTTTAATAAAATAGAAAATAGAATTTAAGCTTTTTTCAAGCAAAATTATTAGCCCTGGCCAAACACCATTCAGAAGAAGAAAACAAGCAAATCTTCAATTGGACCTTTAGGCTTATCTTCGCTACCAGTGAACTGGTTTCCCATGAAACAAAAATCCTAACTTGCAAGGGGAACAAATCTGGAAAACAGTCCTCTGCATAGAAGTGGCTCCCAAAATCTTTCACTGCATTATTAATATCATTATACCTACAAGAAGAGTAAGATGAGTCAATTTTCAACTCACGTAAATTTATGTGCTTGCAAAGAACCATTAAGAAATATTTTTGAACTTGAAATGGAAACAAATCCATCATAAGATATTCTACCAGCAGAAGACTCATAATATTGTTCACTGCTGTGCTAAACTCATTATGCCATCAGGGTAAGCAACAACAAATCAATGTTAAATTTCTATAAATACACATGGAATCATCCCGAAGAAAAAAGACTAGTATATAAGTTACACACAGACCACAACGAGAGGGCGCTTAGTATTTGTTAACCAGCTGCTAAGGCAAGCACAGGTGAAGGTTGTGCAGTACATGGCTTATGTTTCGGAACAAAAAGGTGTTAAAGAAGGGCATGCTATCCAAGCAGGCTTCTCCTAGCAAACAGGGCATAATTATCTATCACCTGAAAGAAATAGCCTCTATTTATAGAGGAATTAGCATGATTATCTCCAAATTTTAATTTTACACTTGATCGTCTTTTCATGCATGACCTTGTAAGGTTAAAACCTCTTGTGATGGAATTGGAAACAAGAAATTATCCCATACCTATGATACAGAAATCATCTGGTTGCAATATTCTCATATATTTCATTCAAAAATCATGCCTACAAGAAGACACTCTATTCACAGCTGGCATATCACTGAAAAGCAGCCCTGGTGCATCCCCACATATAGGTGGGCCAGAGTGTACCTCACAACGCAATGGTACTGCATAAATACTAAATTATTTGGACCTTAGCTACTCCATTAGCTCTCAGACTCAGGCACCAGGTCAATTGCTCCCCGGAAAAAAATAAGCAAATAATCATAAAGAAAAACAGCAAACTTCGGAACACATAAAAAAGATGACCCCAATGATAACTCAAAAAGCGTCCTGAACTACTCAGAAGACATCGAGGTTTTGCTTAATTTCAATAAAATGGTACCTACAAGTCACAACTAAAAGGTCTTGAAAAAAGAGAAAAGGGAAAGGAAACAAGAAAATCTCGCTCACCGTTTGAGAGCACGCAACCACATTCCTTCAGGAACCAAAGCATATTGACGGCCTGAAAACCCCGCTTCCAAATTTTCAATCTTCTTGCGATCCTCTTCCTTCCTCAGATGCAACAAAATTTCAGAGTCAGAATCAGAATTGGACAACACCGTGTACAGAACACCTTCTACACGATCAGCTTCTCTTTCTACTTCTATCCACCACCTTCACTCCAACCAAAAAACAAAAAACACGAAAATCAATTTCACGAAAACAATACAATATATTCGAATGCAAGCAATCAATTCTGGATTCTAATTGCTTGGGGCACAAGAATGAAGAACCCTAACTAGACCACGTCTTCACGACACAGCAACGACAAAACCGCACCATCCAACAATCCCAAAATTTGCTTAACCTTTGTTTCTTTCTCTCGGGAACCAAACAAAACTACGAAAACAAAGGGAAAAGATTGTGTGAGTGAATGAGGTACCGGTAGGGAAGCAAGTAGACCCTCTCGTCGGCGAAATCGCGGTCATCCTCTTGGAGGAAGCGACGGTGGGGGCGAAGTTGATAGGTGGAATCGAAGTCGTCGGCGAAGTAGTCGGCGTTATTGGCGAAGAGGTTGTCCATGGCGAGAAAGGGTAGGGTTTGGGAAAGTAAGAAGCGAGCAAGGGACTTGCAGAAATGGAGAGTGGAGAGAGAAACAAGAGCGAGAAAGCGGGTCGGTTTGAGGAACAAGGAGGAGAAACGGAGCTTCTCGGAAAAACGGGTCATAGCCCCCTCTCCCTCCCCTTTATTTCCTTTTTGGGTCAAACTCATAACGTTTTAAACCACACAACTCAAATTTTGGCCTGCTTCAATAATTAATTATAATTCATTGCTAAGATATGCTCTTAAAATTTTAATTAAATAATATTTGTATTGATATTTTGTTAATTATGCTTTTTAAATAAATTGTTAAATTATTATACAGTTTTTTGAAATGCTTTTTATTTAAAAATATATGTTTTTCTTAAAAAATACAAAAGGGATAGGATATTGTGACAACCAAATAATGTTACTACCAATGTTATTACCACATCTTAACCGTTGATTTCCGTCAATTACGGTTATCATTTCAAATCAAACTCATTAATTAATTATTAATTTGCAATAAATAATAACCGTTGATTGGCGGAAATCAACGGTTAAGATGTGGTAATAACATTATTTGGTTGTCACAATATCCTAAACAAAATCCTATTACTCATTAAATATATTTTAATTTGAAGATGATTACACTTATAACTTCTTTAACGTTACAATTTTCTAATAAATATTAGATCAAAATCAAATTAATTAGTCTCAAGATATTATTTATCATTGTTGATTTGATTTTAATTTATAAAGCATGTTATTTGTACACTGATATAAATGAAATTAATGATCAAAATTAAAAGCACAACTTATGCTGATGTAAATATAATCTGGTTGGATTAGAATTAAATGTTACATTTTTTCTATTGTTTTAATAGAATAAATCATTATTTTAATTTACAATTTTTATGAGGAAATTTTTAATTAATAATTTGAATTTTTGGGTTGTGGAGTGGCATTGTAAATTTCAAGTTTTGGGGAGTTGTGATAAAGTGCGGAGGCGTGCGTGTGTGTAACTGTGTATCGGTATGACTGGATGGTTCAAGAAGGTGGGTCTGGTCCTCTCTGGACTCCGATGATGCACCACTTTTGCACTCAATTTAGAGTAAATATCTTTTTTAGTCTTCAACAAAATTTATTATGTACGTTTTAGTTCCTAGCAAATAAAAAAAGTTATTCGTGATTCTTAAAAAATTTAAAATAGACCTATTTTAGTCTTTTTGAGTGACTAATTTAGGTCTTTATTGAATTTATGAGGGACCACGATTTCAATTAAATTGGTTCATTTTGAATTTTTTAGAGATCATGAATAAATTTTTTATTTGTTAGGGACTAAAGCGGATATCGTGAAATTCGCTAAGATGAAAAATGATAATTACTCCTCATTTTATTAGCAAAAAGATATCAAGATTATGAGTCTCATCATCCTTGGTTGGATCCATTTCCGTGGTGGGCCACTATTTTTTATTAAACTTTTTTTTTCTTTTGAGGCCACATGCCCCAAAAATAATGAGTATTTTGAAATTGAGACATCTCATTTATGTGCTAAACGATAAATTCTACATTTATTTATTGGGTTTGGTGTTTGTCATTTTAAATGAATAAGTTATGTCATTTTAAAATAGCGATAGACACAAGAAATAAAAATAATGAAAAAAAAGTGGGTGATTTTTTAAAAATTTAAAATTTAAATAAAAAATATTTTTTGTGTCTACCTATTTTAATATGACATAACTTTATGTCATTTAAAATGACATTTCTCTCTTATTTAAAACCCTCCTTTTTGGTTGCATCAACCTCTTTTAAATGCATCAATGGTTTAAAAGAAATAATGTTTGCTATGATGGTTATTACTTATTAGAGTCTCAATTGTTGCCATTGCCACTGATATTTTTTATGCATCGTTTGATATTCCTTATTACTTTTTATTTCAGTGAGAACTAAAAAAAGTTTTAATTTTATAAATATTGAAAAATAGAGCCATGATTCAAAGGAGTAAAATTTCCCTTGGAACGAGTCCATGGCCCAACTTAGCACAAAATAAAAGTCTTTGTTAATAAACCATTGCATAAACATGCTTTTTTGGTGAACAAGTCCATTACAACTCTGTTTTTATTTGGGCCACATTTCATTACTTTTAGGCCTTGGTAATTGATAACCCGGAAGCCCATTTGTTTTGGTCAATTATGCTTTTAAAAATAAAAATGGTTATCCATACGCACGTGTGATATAGCAGTCTCTTATTTTATTTTATTTTGGTAAACACTTCTCTTATTTTATTAGTATTGAAAGATGAGTTCGTTTTTTCTGCAGTTACTTACTGCAGATAAGTTATTTGCAATAAGTCTAATACGACGTCGTTTTGGGACGAAAATCATGGTATTTTTGTAATTTTAATTTATTTCAAGATTATTATAGTCTTTATAATTATAATTTTTTAATCTTTTAATTCCAAAACGACGTTATTTTGAGAGTAAATACAGATAAATTATCTGTAGTAACTGCAAAAATATTTTTCTTTGAAAGATTTAGTATTTTTTAAAAGTAGGTCTTAAAATTACTTCTTTTTTGAGTATAGTATATAAGTTTTAATTAAGTTAACCTAAATATAATTTTTAAAATCATATGTAAAGTTACTGCAGAAGTTAAGCCTGACTACTCAAAATATATTTGAACTACTTAAAAATATTATATTAATGTAATATTAATATGTATTCATAATACAAACAAAACTTTAATAATTTCCACAGAACACGTGTTAAAAAATATATTTTTTACAAAAAACTAACGAAACAATTTTTTGTTATATGATTAAAAAGGATTTTCATATCTAGTGTCCTTGAGTATGTTTTCTTAAAGTGTTTAAAATGTTATTGTCGTTAAGGATTTTCAACTTGAGCTCTCAAAAGTTTGTTTCGATAAAGGGTTCAAACCTTGTCTCAAGTAAATTTTTGAAAAATAAAATTGGAGATCAGAGGACGTGTCTCTCTCCACAAATGGAGAATTAGTTTCATTCTTCCTCCGTTAGCGAAGCTCAATACATCCGTTATTTCAATGAGAGGTAAGGTGACCGAAGGTAGTTGAATGGGAATACCTCCTGATTATACACAAAAAAATGTTATTGTGATAATCTCTTTCATACTTAATAAAAAAATGGGAAAACTTCAAAAATCCCCCTACAAGTTTTCTCAAAATCACTTAACCCCTTCTCCGAAATTTTTAATCATTTATCCCCCTACTCAAATTTTTTTATCACTTACACCCCTAATTTGATTTTCCATCCAGAATTTTGTTAAATTTTTTAAAAGGTACCAAAATTACCCTTAATAGAAAAAAAAAACATAATTTCCTCACAAACTACTTTGTAACTAGTTTAATATGTTTTTTTAATTTAAGGGATGATTGCTTAATTTTAAGCTTGCAAACAATTGTTATAAATTTACGTTTAAAATATTCATATATACGAAACAAGTAGGATGCTATTTTTTTATATTTTAATTCCTGCAGAGAAAGTTTGGATTATTTACTGTAAAACCCGCAAGGTATGTTGCGAAAGTTGAGTACTATCATAGAGTTTGGCAAAAAAAAAGCCTACTTCATTAACAAGCCTACTTTTATCAAAACCCATGAGGTCCAATGTATCTGTGAACAAAAATGGGAGATACAAAAATATGGACCATGGTCAGTATATATGCAGAACACTTGCCCCACTCACACCATCTATTTAACTGATATATAGCGAAAAATTTATAATATAATTCACATTCTCAAAACAAAATTCACCAACAAATGCTAATATTGACATACAATGAGGATTCCAAGTTCCAAGTCTTGTCTCGAAGAAAAAATTATAACTGTGCAAGTTTTATATCAAATCATTTGTTATTATTATTATAAGAAGGAGGTATTCTCACTTAGTCCCCTTAAATCACCTTGCGGTTCAAGAATTAGCTATGATAAAACACAAAGTTTTACAATTGGTACCTTTAAAAAAATTATGTTTGTGAGGAAATTATGTTTTTCTTTTTTCTATTAAGGGTAATTTTGGTACCTTTTAAAAAATTTAACAAAATTTTGGATGAAAAATCAAATTAGGGGGGTAAGTGATAAAAAAAAATTTGAGTAGGGGGTGAATGATTAAAAATTTCAGGGAGGGGGTTAAGTGATTTTGAGAAAACTTGTAGGGAGATTTTTGAAGTTTTCACTAAAAAAATCATGTGATTAATACATTGAAAATATAAGAAGCCTTCACTATTTTGTTTGTTTGGTATTTAAGAATATTTTTATGATAATTAATTAGGAGCATTTTGATATATTCATTCCTAATTACATATTAGATAATTCAGTATAGTATTAAATGCATAGCTAACTATTTGTTGGCATTTATTAATAAAAATCAATAAATAAAAACCATAACCATTCAATTCAATACTTTATTTTTATAAATAAATAAAAATAGAAAATTCCTCAACATGAGCCTAAGGACAAATTTAAAAAAACTTTTATTTTATTTATGAGATTAACATTTCTCTTATGACGTGATATAAAATTATCTCTTCTACTCCAAAATGACGTTATTTTGGAGTTGCAGAAGATAACTTATATCCTGAAGAAATAATTTTTTCTTTGTTTATACAATAAATATAGGGTTCGTTTTTTCAGTAGTGAATGTAGATAAATTATCTACATTAAATCTAAAAGGATGTTATTTTTTGGCAGAAATCAAGGTATTTTTATAATTATAATTTATTCAAATGTTATAATAGTTGTTGTCATTATAATTTTTTTAATTTCTAAATCCAAAATGACGTCATTTTGAGAGTGAATGTATATAAATTATTTGCATTCACTGTAGAAACGTTAAAGTCATAATAAATGTCTTTAATGTTTCTATAGTGAATGCAGATAAGTTATCTACATTCATTTTCAAAATGATGATATGCCTTTATTGTTTTTATAGTGAATGCAGATAAATTATTTATATTTACTCTCAAAATAACATCATTTGTGGTCAAAAGATTAAAGAATTATAACGATAAAGACTATTATAACCTTGGAATAAATTATAATTATAAAATACCTTATTTTCTTCTTAAAATGACATTATTTTGAGCTCAATACAAATATTGTATCTACATTCATC